CTCCCCTCTCTGGTAACCACCATCTGCCACCTGGGTGGTAGATCTCTTGACAATTTGCTTCAGTTCTTGCTCTAAACGATCCTGAATGGCCTTGATGGTCTCTGGGATTTTTCTCAGTTTGGCCAGTCCTTTGATGAGGATGCCCATAAAGACCGAGCTGTTCTCCTCGGGATCCAGGTCTAAATCTTCCTTGATTTCCATCAAGCTGACTTCTCTTCCTGAAATATAAAAAAGACCAACCCAAATCATGAAACAGTTCTTTGAGGCATGCCCAAAGGTCTACCCGGGGCCCATGAGATTTTATTTTTCAGGATCCAATCTGGATCGGTCACCAGAACCAGAGGGTTATTCTTCCAAGCTTTCGGACTCGTGCTGGAGTGTCCATCCTCAAAGAACTTTTCCCTCTCCAGAATTTTGTAAAATTGTTCATGTAAAATTCTGGAGAATGAGAAGTTCCTTGAGGATGGGACCCAGCATGACAGGTGATTACCCTGTTTCCCCGAAAATAAAACCCAAGCGGAAAATAAGCCCTAGCATGATTTTTTTCAGGAGGCTCGTAATAAAGGCCCTACCCCAAAAATAAGCCCTAGTTAAGATCGTCAGCCAGGCAGACGCATTGAGTACCATATTCTCCTGAAAATAAGACCTAACTGGAAAATAAGCCTTAATGCATCTTTCGGAGCAAAAATTAATATAAGACCCGGTCTTATTTTCAGGGAAACATGGTAGGACTTTGTTCTGCCCCAGCTACGGACCCCAAAGAATACAGCACACACAAAGTTTGTACAAAACTTAATTTACTAAACTAACTCAGTCTTTATCAAAACAAAATCCATCCTTTCTAAGGTAGGTAAAATGAGGACCCGGTTTGTGGGGGCAATAAGATGACTTTGTATAAATATACAAAAGGATGAAGGCTATTGCTTAATGCATTGGAAGCCGCCCAGAGTCTCCGGAGAAGGGCGGCATATAAATCAAATTTAAAAAAAAAAAAAGGCTGTTAATAAACTTTCTTAACAGCCTACAAGAAACCAAAGATAAAATAATCACAATCTTATTAAAGTTGTCTGAAAGCCCAGAAGCAATTTTGCAGAGAATCCAGACACGAAGTAGAGTGAACTAAAGTTGTTCCCTACAAATTGCTTCAGTCGGCGTTCCTCCTTAAATAGGCTAAGGGAGTGGCCAATGAGCCCCAAGCCTTACTCTCGAGGAGACCTCCTCCTGAGGAGCCACTCCTGCCTTTTGGCAGCTCTGCGCACCCGTGCATCGAGAAGAAGCTCCTCCTCTTTGTCCTCTTCACTTATGGGAGCTTCTGGAGGTTCTGAAGGCCCTGGCTGAATCCCCGCCTCTGGCACCACATCTTCTCCAGCCTCTTCTTTGTGTGACTCGGGTGCCAGCTGTACAGTCTGCTGGCGCAGCCCCACACCAGCCTCCTCGCTGTCGGAATCAGCTACAATCCGCACAGGCCGCTGATGGGCCACAACAGACTTCATGCTGGTTGTTGGAGTCCATTCTTCTTCTATGTATTCCACAGACAATGCAATTTCTAACTTATCTAGCCACGGTGGCACAGTGGTTAGAGTGCAGTATTGCAGGCTATGTCTGCTGATCACCGGCTGCCAGCAATTTGGCAGATCGAATCTCACCAGGCTCAAGGTTGACTCAGCCTTCCATCCTTCCGAGGTGGGTAAGATGAGGACCCAGATGGTTAGGGGCAAGAGGCTGACTCTGTAGACCGCTTAGAGAGGGCAGGAAAGCACTATGAAGCGGTATATAAGTCTAAGGGCTATTGCTATTATCTTCCCTCAGTGAGGAAGCCATGTCAGATGATACATGGCCCATATCAAGAAACAGAGAATGGTAGCAAAATAACCCTCGGTAATTTCCGATATTCTCATTTTTATACATTTTTCTCTCACCTTGGATTTTTTTTTTAAAGGGGGGGGGGGGGGGGAGGCTCATTTCAGTTCATAACTCAGCCAATTCTGATGAAAACACATCCAGGTTTTGGTCCCTTCCAGATTAAGTGAGCGCTGGAGCAAACGTCAAGGACTCGTCCGAACTGTTTCTTATAAGCCACTCAGAGTGATAAAAATAATTGGAATGAAGTCAATCTAGGGGACGGGTCAGTGGTGGCCACAAGTTCTCGAGTGAAGGATATTTGCAGGAACGTTTTCATCAACTGGGAGTCGACGTGCTCTTTCTTCACGGCAGACCTGCCAGTCAAAAGTTGCAAACCTCGGCTATTTTCCATTTAGGGTTACATCGAAAGCCTCACCTGTTCAATAACGGCGCTTGTCAAAGTCAGGATAGAGGAAGTGGAAAAGCTATTACTAGCTGGGAAACAATCATTGCGACAGCCCTTAGAATCCCAACATTGTCACCTCATCGGTTTGTTTCATTCTGTCTCGTCTCAAATTCCCCTGCCAAACGTTTCAACCCCACAAAAAACTTGGAGAAACAAGGGCACCACAGAATCTAGATCAGTGGGGGCGAACCTTTTACTCACCGAGTGCCAAACGGGTATGTACTTCACACGTGCCATCTGCGCTAATCTGTGGCTTCTCCCCCATGCGCACCATCTGCGCATAAACACAGCTTTCACACATGCACCCCACCGTGCGCTGCGCACACAATCGCACCCTCTACGCATGTGTGCAGGTTACACACAGCTCCGTGCACTGCGTGCGCAATCACACCATCTGCGCACGCACGCGGGTTTCGTGCGGCTCCCCTGTGCGCTGTGCATTCACTCGCACCATCTGTGCATGTGCATGGTTTTCACACACAAAATGCATGTGCGCGAACGCTGTCTGTGCATGCTTGCACTGTGCACCAATACTCGCGGGTGCATGCGCAAATGTGCCCACATGGGCAGGAGAGCTCCAAAGACCAGCTGAGTCCCCTGAATTGTGTGCATGCGCAACGGAGGCCCGAACACCAGCTGGGGGGGGCACGCACATGCACAGCTGCGGATGAGTTGGATGACAGCTTGCGTGCCGGGAAAAATGGCTCTGTGTGCCACTTCCGGCACTCACGCCATAGGTTCACCATCACGGATCTAGATGAATCCTACAGATTAAACCAGCATTTTATGGCTGGTGGTGAAAGCAGCAGGCTGGAAACCAGGAAGAGGTGAGTTTTAGTCCCACTTTAGGCTTGAAAGCTGGTTGGGTCTCTTTGGGATAATTGCTGGATGCTTATCCTATGGCTGGGTAGATAATATATAGAAAACTATGTTTTGTAACTTTAACTGCTACAAAGATGACTAATTGGCTGTGCTAAGCAGACATAAAAGAAGGCAGGAATTTTATTCACTTCTGCTCCTGCTCCTGCTATTGAAGGTTGAACTGCTGGAAGGAACTGTGTCTGTGTTTGAAGAGAACTGGAATTGTAAGCAAACTACGTTTTGTGTTAAACCGTGATTGTTTGAAGAAGTTCTTTTGAGAAGCCAAGTTTGTTTTTATGCTACAAGTAAAGACTGTTTATTTTTCTTTAAACGTTCAGAGTCTGTGACTATCCTGTGTGTTTTGCTAAGCATCGTATCTATTCGCTGTCCGGTCCGTTGCACCACATTGCAGAGGGCAGTTTTACCCTCAACAATAATGACAAGATGACTGTGCGTTTTTGCCCTCCCCAGGCTTCGGAGGCTTCCCTCAAGCCTCTGGGAGGGCGAAAATGGCCTTCCCCCAGGCTCCAGAGGCCGAAACGGGCCCATTTTCAGACTCCCGGTAGGCCCTTTTTTTCGCCCTACCCAGGCTCCAGAGGCTTTCTTCGAGTCTCCAGGAAGGAAAAAACGGCCTCTCCCGGGCTCCAGAGGCCAGAAACGGGCCCATTTCCGGACTTCCGGAACGTCAGGTGTTTTTCGCCCTGCCAGAACCTCTACACGGACCCTGCACTTACCTGGCATCCAAAACGGGCTGCCTGGAGACTCCTGGGAAGGGAGGGGCGGGCTGGGCGGGGTCAGTCAGTCCTTGCAACTACCGGTTCGGTGAACCAGATTAAAATTAACATCTGGTTCACTTGAACAGGTCCAAACCGGCTGAATCCCCCCCTGCATGTGCGTCTGCACACCTGATCTGTCCCCGTCCACACACACACACAAACACAGCCAGCCGAGGGTTAAGGAAGCACTTGGAACACACCCAGCTCTTTATCTCCAACTTGGCAGCGATATACACGCCGTCTGCAAAGTGCTTTTATTTCCACAGAAAACAGAAAGATAAATACTCAGCTTCCAAACGTCCAACAACAATAAATATTCCTCCCAGCAGTTCCGAACGAGGCTTTAGTGACTATCCAAGGTTAGTTTTGTTCGTCACAAGGATCACTGGCCACCACCCTCTATTATATAGTCTCTGGGGTGTGGTCCAGTGACTCAGTTCTAATCCCTAGCATGCCTCCTGAGCTGCTAATCGTTTATCACGCCTTCGGAGGCGTGCGTCCAGAAATGATGTTTCTCCCTCACTCTCATCCGAGCCACCTGTCTCCCTGCTAATCTCCTCTCCCTCGGTCGGCACCTGAGACAGTGCCAGAGGGGAGGGGCCTGGAGAGGGAGGCCTGGCTGACTCCTCTTCCTCATGCTCGGAGCTTTCTTCCTCCTATGGGACAGGCTCAGAGGGCGGGGCCACAACAACACCATCTCTTGTTCTCACACACAAAAACACACAATTTTTCGTCACATGTATTTCCGCTGAAGTCATATCTGAATTCAAAGCTTTCTCTTTCAGAAGTAAACTTCAAATAGGCATGCAACAGGCACCCACATGCATGCGGAAAATATATATATATATATATTATTTCATCACTCACCGCTAGAATTTGCTGGAGTGCCATATTGAGACGAGTCAAACTTGCGAGGAGTGGATAAGTTAGTAACGTCGAGATGAGGCAGAGCCGAGGCCTCCTTCACATGAGAACTGCAATGAAAAGAAATTAAACTTAACCATTGCGAGCTGGGAGAGAACTCCGGCAGGCATTCACAAATGGCAGAAATGTAAATGAGAAGATTAAAGTTTCTATAACAGATCTCAACATCCCCGAGGGAATTACGTGCGGATGAAGTACTGGCAAAGCTTCGTTTTTATTTTTAACGTTTTAATCTGTTTGGCTTTGTACCTTTAATATGATTTTATATGCTGTTTTAACTTTGGTTTGGGAAGACGCTCCTCCCTTTCAACTTTTTTGAAGAATTGAATGTTTGCAGCTCACGATACCACAACATTGTGACTGTACGGTTTGATAACCTTGAAACAGTCTCAAAAGAAGAAAATCTAGAAGGCTTTTGTATCCAAAAACTGGAAAAAGTACATGGCCAGCCATCAAACGATCGTCATCAAAACAACCTAAAATGCCATCCAATGTGGACCCTTGAAATGGAAAGGAAAAGTAATGAGGGTTTATTTGTCCCCTGGAATGATGAATGCTTTTTTCAAGGTTGAATTGGTTTATAGCAGGCATCCCCAAACTGTGGGCCACAGCCCACTACTAATCCGTGGCCTATTTGCAACCAGGCCATGTGAGCACACGCAGCTGCCCCTTGCACAAAACCATCCCCTCTCCTGCCCCCCCCCCCAGGCCAGTCTGCCATAAGAGAGGAAAACGGTCACAAGTCCCATTTATACAGTTGGTTTATATGACTCTGTCCAAATTTCCCTTTTTTTTTTCAGATTAACAGAGTTGAAACGGACCTTGTAGGTCATCTAGTCCAACCCTGACTTTGTATAAAAAAGAACACCGCTTAGGGGGGGCCGAAAGCCCTAGTAAGCAGGTATATACAAAAGTATGAAGGCTATTGCTTAACGCATTGTAAGCCGCCCTGAGTCTCTGGAGAAGGGCGGCATATAAATCGAACCAATAAATAAATAAATAAATAAACCCCCTCGCCCAAGCAGGAGACCTTACACCATTTCTGAAGGATGGCAGTCCAATCTCTTCTTGAAAGCTTCCAGTGATGAAGCTCCCACAACTTCTGGTGGCAAGCTGTTCCACTGGTTAATTGTCCTCATGGTCAGAAAATTCCTCCTTATTTCTAGGTTGAATCTCTCCCCTTATTCAGTTTCCATCCATTATTCCTTGTCTGGCCTTCGGATGCTTTGGAAAATAGCTTGACTCCCTCCATTCTGTGGCAGCCCCTCAAATATTGGAAGGCTGCTCTCCTGTCTCCCCTGGTCCTTCTCTTCACTAGACTAGCCAGGCCCAGTTCCTGCAACCATCGTTCATTGTATGTTTTAGCCTCCAGTCCCCTAATCACCTTTGTTGCTCTTCTCTGCACTCTTTCCAGAGTCTCAATATCTCTTTTTTTTAAATCAAGTTTTAATTTTTTTCTTTCACACACACCCACATATTTTATGAACAGAGTATTGACCGTATCATAACTTATGCAACTTGTCATATCCAAATATACTTTACATAGTTACAGTTTCTGCCAAAATGTTCTTTTTCCCTACTTTTTTATCTTATCTTAATATTTCTATACTTATTATATAAACAGCATCACCATCCGCCCTCAAATCCTAATTTCTTAACATTATTTCAATTAGTTATCTTATCTTATCCATTGTTAATCAGATATATTCTCTTTTAACTTTCATATTAACTCGTTCATCTTAATAAATTTAAACATGCTTGAGGTTGCCTTTCTACCATTTCATCTCCCTTGTTTTACAACAATCCTTCTTCTCCTTCTCTCTTTCTCTTCCCTCCCTTCTTCTATCCTCTTCTACTTTCTTCTTTCCTCCTCTCCTATTCCTTCTCTACTTCCTCTTCCTTTCCCCCCTCCTTCTTTCCTCACTTTCTAACCTTCTCTCCTACTCGTTTCCCCTCCCTTTCTTCCTCTCCTTTTCCCTTTCTTCCATTCCTCTCTCTCCTTCCTCTCTTCTCCTCTCCTTCTATCCCTCTACTTCCATTCTCTCTCCGTTGTTGTATTCATTTTCAATTCAACATTTTCCACAATGGTATCCGGGCAACCCCGATTTTTCTCCACTTATTAAATATATTTCTCAAAATCCCCATCACATTTTTTATTATTAACAATATATTTCAACTTACTCCATTTTTACACTGAAACCTTTTAACTAAATTAACCTTCCACCTCTTACTTTCTATTAGGATTGCATTGGCTTTTTTTGCTGCCGCCGCACACTTTTGCTAGAGGCAAGAATACAGCCTGTTTTCCTGCATTAATAAGAGTTGCAATTATGAGATGAGGGGATGGATGGATGGATGGATGGATGGATGGATGGATGGATGAATGAATGAATGAATGAATGAATGAATGAATGAATGAATGAATAAATAAATAAATGAGACCCACCTTATCCTCCCCTTTTCTTTGTTCCGTTGTCCAACTTTACTGGTAGACTTGATGTAAAGATGACGGTGGAGTTCATCTATTAGAACTAAATGCATGTTCATCTTTTTACTGTGAAGTTCCAGCCTCAGGTCACCTAGTCCTTCTACCTGAAGGAGGGGCCCCTCCAGGGATTCTACAGCCGACACCTTTGAACAAAAAATAAAGGTCGATTTAGATACCGTATTTTTCAGACTATAAGGTGCACCAGAGTATAAGACGCACCAAGATTTCGAAGAAGAAAACAAGAAAAAAAATAGTTTTTGTCCTCCCCGGCCCCCAGGAGCACTCTGCAGGCCTCCCAAACCCTCTGTGCATCCCATTTATGCGTAAAATGGGCCCGTTTTTGCCGAAAATGGGACGCACAGGATGGGGATTCGGGAGGCCAAATATGGCTGTATTCGGTGTATAAGACGCACCAACATTTCCACCCTCTTTTGGGGGGGGAAGTATGTCTTATACTCCGAAAAATATGGTATTTGCCAAAGTCATTACAGGTAAAATATAGGTAGCCCTCGAGTTGCAACCTCAACTGAGCCCCAAAATTTCCTGTTGCTAAGTGAGACATTGGTTAAGTGAGTTTTGCCTCATTTAACGACCTTTCTTGCCACGGTTGTTAAGTGAATGACGGCGGTTGTTAAAGTTAGCAAGATGGTTGTTAAGCGATTGGCTTCCCTCTTGATTTTGCTTGACAGAAGGCCGCAAAAGGGGATCGAGTGACCTCCGGGACAATGCGACCGTCATAAATATCAGTTAGTTGCCAAGAATTTGGATTTTGATCACATGACCACGGGACGCTGAAAAAGTCTGAAAAATGTCATCAGCCACTTTTTTAAGTGCCATTGTAATCTGTTGTAAATCGGGGACTTCATATAAGATTTACCTAGATCAAATTCTGATGACAACCTTATATTGGCATATTTCCTTCAAGCAAAAGTAGACAATCCTTCTTTCTTGGTCTTAAAAAGCAGGAAGATGAAAGGGATGAACGCAAAAAATGATGAAGGACGAAAGGAGAGAGCAAAAGGAAGATTCTGCATTCAGCAACATGAAGTCGAAACGAAGGGATTCATTCAGCCAAAGCCTTCGCAGAAGAAATTGATTTTGAAGAATGCCCCTTTGATATTATTCTAAATTTCTCTGCAATCACAGTCGATTAAATTAGCAATCCCTAGGAACGTTACTGCTCTGGCCACAGGGTAACTGAAGTAGCAACCGAAGGCCTCAAAACTCAAAAGGGATTTCCTTGCCAGCTGCATCCCTGGGATTGCTAAATATTTTAATTATTTGGCCGCCACTGAGTCATGTCCAACTCCGGTGCATTTAAAAGATCTGGCTTCAACCGGTGGCTACTGCAATATTTCCAATTTACAGCTCACCCGGTATTTCAGGTGACCTTCTAGGGGACTTAAATACAATTGAGATCATGATAAATGTTTCAAGCAATTCTGTTTAATTGTGTCAGTTCGCTATCCCTGGGCAGCAGTGTAAATACATCGACAAGAGGACTGGCCACAGAAAAGGAGAGTGTCTCATTTTTTGCGTATTATTTAAATAAGTCAGTAAATCTCATTTTGCAGGAATCCAGCGTGGCTTCCTTAAGGAAAGAGGAGGTAAACAGACAGCCTCAAGAGCTCGCGGCAAATTAAACAATATTTCATTTAATAATGAGAAATATACTTCATGATGGCTTATGGTTTTAAGCTCCCCATCCATCATGTCTCGTCAACGGCACAGAGAGCTGCTTCTTTTCTTGAACTAAAAATTGGGAAGTAATCCTTACGTTGCAATCTACCCTTTAGCTGCCCCCTTCTTAAGTGTGGGTTTCTGTTGCCTATTCGCAGAAGTATTGGAACAGCATACAGATAGTCCTCGATTTACGATCAAAATGGAGGCCAAGATGTTTGTTGTTAAGTGAGGCATTTGTTAAATGGGGGTTTTGCCCCATTTTATGACCTTTCTTGCCTCCGTTGTTAAGTGAATTGCTGCCATCCCTCAACACTGCCAAAGTATTTACTAAATCTGCACTACTATTAATCTTCTCATCATTCCTATCACCCATCTCCTCCCGCTTATGACTGTATGACTGTAACCTTGTTGCTGGTATCCTTACGATTTATATTGATATTGTTTCCTGATTTGCTTATTTGTTCCCTATGACTATCATTAAGTGTTGTACCTTATGATTCTTGACGAACGTATCTTTTCTTTTATGTACACTGAGAGCGTATGCACCAAAGACAAATTCCTTGTGTGTCCAATCACACTTGGCCAATAAAGAATTCTGTTCTGTTCTGTTCTGTTCTATTCATTGGTAAGTTATTAAGACAGTTGTTCAGTGAATCTGGCTTCCCCGTTGACTTTGCTTTTCAGAGGTTGCGAAAGGAGATCATTACAGATTACAGATTAACAGAGTTGGAAGGGACCTTGTAGGTCATCTAGTCCAACCCCCCACCCAAGCAGGAGACCCTATACCCGTAATGGCGAACCTATGGCACGCGTGCCAGAGGTGGCACGCAGAGCCCTCTCTGTGGGAACGTGCACCGTCGCCAGCTGCTTGTCTGGTTTCCAGCGCACACATACACGCCGTCCAGCTGGTCTTTGCAGGCGCTGGAGCGATGGAAAACGGCCTGAAATCGGACAAAAAACAGGCGTGCATGCACCGGCCAGCTGGTGTTTGGGTTTCCGGCGCTCCGGCACGCCCACATGCACTCGTGTTCCGGTTTGGGCACTTGGTGCTGAAAAAGTTTGCCATCGCTGCCCTACACCATTTCTGACAAATGGCAGTCCAATCTCTTCTTGAACATCTCAAGTGATCGCGTGACCTCAGGACACTGCAACTTACTCCAAAAGCACTTTATTAAAATAAATTGGATAAAAATTAAAAAAAATCTGATTTAAATCAAAAAGTCCCGTTTAAATTTTTTAAAAATCCTATTTTAAAAAAAAATAAAAAAAAATCATCGATTTTTATCCACCCTGGAAGCCAGGGTCCCCAAGCTGAAACGGACCAGTTTAAATTCAGCTTTAAAGTATTTTCAATATTTCCATTTAATACCGACATAAAATCCTGGAGACCCGGAAGAGGCTCCTTTGCCGTGAACTCATGATTATTTATGGCATTTATCAAAGTCCGGCGATTGGCTGAACACTTGACTTGAGTTCCTAATTCCTCGCTATCTGATGCAACCCGGCTATCTCGACGTTCGTCTGGGGAACCGGCCCCAGACCGGAAGAATTATCTACATATGCATGAACACGCTCCAGGCCTCCTCTCGAGAAAGTTCAGGATCAAGTGTGAGGTCTTAAGAGCTTCAAAAAAAAAACACTCCCCCGGGAAATGTATCCGGCCTCCTCCTTGGAAAATTATTAACTTAAAAACACGGTGATTTCGTTCATATTTTGCATAAACTGAGCTCTTGGCGTCCATGGGGGATTGTAGCTTTAACCAGAGGGTTGTTAACTTATTGCTGATGTTGTGAGAATTTTGTCCAAACGCCTTGACTCGTTCCATTTAAACAATACAGGAAGTTCTCGATTTACGACAGTTCATTTAGCGATCGTTCGAGAGTTACAATGGCACTGAAAACAATGAAGGAAGGAAGGAAGGAAGGAAGGAAGGAAAGAAGGAGAGGAGGAAGGGGGGCGACTGTGGGGTCCTTGGTGTTCTCTGAGCTTGGTGGTTTTCTTGCAGACGTTTCATGACCCAACTAGGTAACATCATCAGTGCTAAAAGAAAGGGGGGTTGTGGAGAAGAGGGGGGAGGAGGGGAGAGGAGAACAGTCCTTGGTGTTCTCTAAACTTGTTAGTTTTCTTGCAGACGTTTCATGACCCAACTAGGTAACATCATCAGCCAACCCTCCCTTCTAGCACTGATGTTGTCACCTAGTTGGGTCATGAAATAACTGCAAGAAAACCACCAAGCTCAGAGAGCTCCAAAGACCTCAGAGGTACAATAAGTAAGATACCTACTACTTTCAGATGCTAATAACTTAAATGCCACATTCAGAATCTTGTTGAAATATTAAAGAGATAGTTTACTTTGAGCAATCAACATAGGCATCTTACCGTAATTTAAATCTACAAATCAAAACAATAGATGGAATTGCTACCATTATTTCTTTACCTTTTTCCCCTCTTGGTTTACAAATAGTTCAAGGTGGTGAACATATCCACACATCTTTTTCCTCCTATTTTCCCCACAACAACCCTGTGAGGTAGGGTGGGCTGAGACAGATGGACTGGCCCAGAGTCACCCAGTCGGTTTTCATGCTTAAAATGGGACTAGAACTCACTGTCTCCTGGTGATTGGCTCAAAGTCACCCAACTGGCTTTCATGCATAAGGCGGGACTAGAATCACCGTCTCCTGGTGATTGGCCCAAAGTCACCCAGCTGGCTTTCATGCATAAGGCGGGACTAGAACTCATGGTCTCCTGGTGATTGGCCCAAAGTCACCCAGCTGGCTTTCATGCATAAGGCGGGACTAGAATCACCGTCTCCTGCTGATTGGCCCAAAGTCACCCAGCTGGCTTTCATGCATAAGGCGCGACTAGAACTCATGGTCTCCTGGTGATTGGCCCAAAGTCACCCAACTGGCTTTCATGCATAAGGCGGGACTAGAACTTATGGTCTCCTGCTGATTGGCCCAAAGTCACCCAGCTAGCTTTCATGCATAAGGCGGGACTAGAACTCATGGTCTCCTGGTGATTGGCCCAAAGTCACCCAGCTGGCTTTCATGCATAAGGCGGGACTAGAACTCATGGTCTCCTGGTGATTGGCCCAAAGTCACCCAACTGGCTTTCATGCATAAGGCGGGACTAGAACTCATGGTCTCCTGCTGATTGGCCCAAAGTCACCCAACTGGCTTTCATGCATAAGGCGGGACTAGAACTCATGGTCTCCTGCTGATTGGCCCAAAGTCACCCAACTGGCTTTCATGCATAAGGCGGGACTAGAACTCATGGTCTCCTGCTGATTGGCCCAAAGTCACCCAACTGGCTTTCATGCATAAGGCGGGACTAGAACTCATGGTCTCCTGTTGATTGGCTCAAAGTCACCCAATTGGCTTTCATGCCTAAGGCAGCACTAGAACTCACAGGTTCCTCTCTCCTAGCCTGGCATTTTAACCACTAGACCAAACTGGCTCTG